TATATATATATATATATATATATATATATATATATATATATATGCATAGTGATATTGCATACGTGTCGTAATAATTCTATGAAATATGGGGTCAAACTAGACAAACAACTCGCATTTACACGCTTCGTTATGGTAACATACGTTCATCGCCTTCTTTTAACAAAGTAAAAATGTACTTTACGAATTATTATTATAAAACGCCAGGCTTTATTTCTATCATATTATGCATTGTCGCGCTATTATTTTATACAGACGCGACGCACCTCTTATAATTCACGCGCCTAAAACTAAATAACAAAAAAGATAATGATAACTCATTAACTTACATATGTACACTGTCCTACCAGCGCGTATAACTTTCCATAAATTTCAGGATGACTGTTCAGGCGACTACAAGAGACTCTTGCTTGCTCTTCTCGGATGAAACTATTTCTCGATTGCGCGACAGCTCCTTTCTACCAAAAATTGCACTTCCATGTCGCGAATTATATATCATATACAGTATAACAATGTCTCGTGACCTCAACTAATTTAGTTTCTTATGTTTTGCGCTAAGCGTCAATGGTGAATAAAGTTTTATTCGTGTTACCTTTGTTTTACGCTTGCTTCCATAAAACGCTTCACACATATACAAAATATGTACGTAACGTAAACATATTATTTTATTAAATAACGCGCGTGCCTCTATACACGTTTACGAAGCTTGAGTGAAGATTAATATATCAATTTTGCACTACACACTTGCACGAAGAATTAAATATTACTGATCGATATAAAAATTTACTCTTCATTGGATACTAATTTCATCGACTTGTGTTCATTTCTGACTGACTGACCGAGTGCCTTGGTTATATACAATTGCATGCCCGTGTACCTTGGTTATATACATTGTACAAAATACAAGAATATCTTCGTAGTATATGTGCTTCGAAAATTAAAAAAGAAAAAAGAATTTAACTTTTTAATCTTTAATTTTCCTACGTTCTTTTGCATTTACAGAATGACTGCAGCGATGACTTTAAGCAGCTTCTGATCGCGCTATTGAATTAATAAACCGAGAAGAATTACTTGTTATTACTAAGAGTGCAATCAGACATTTTTCAGTTAACACAAGTGTTAATAATCTAAACACGCAAATGTAACACATACATATGTTTGTAATAAATGTAATACGCTCGCAGATAAATTCTCAGCTCATTTTATATGATTGATAACGTGAGAAAATATATCTCTGTTTCTCTTTTCCAGAATGATTGCAACGCTGAAAGGAAAAGACTGCTGATAGCAATGCTGAATTAAAAATATCCAACAAAACAATTATAATATACAATATAGGATAATAATGAAGGGTAAAAGTAACAACACATAATAAAAATGAAGAAAAAAGGAAATTTAGTATATCATAACTATTCTTTTTATTTCTTCTTTTATCTCTCATTTCATGCATAATAAATTTACAAAAGACATGCACACAATGAATATTTACAAATAAGGGAAGTTGTAATTATTGCAATGACACAGTAGTGTGCCTTGTATGAGCATATACAGACATCATCGATAATAATCACTATATGCTGATCAAATTTTTAGACAAAACTTTACTCATGTACTCACTGTGATTGGCTTTGAATAAACATGTAGCGATATATACTTGTTATACCATGACCACATTAGGTATTTTTAAATCTTTAATTTTTCTTTTATGAAGTAATTGCAAAACTCTATCATCATCTACATACTCCAACTGTTTCTGTAGCTTGGTAGTGACACAACCTAATTTTATTGAAAGTGCCTTCATATGTATAAATTCTCCTAGGACCTCGAAACACGCGTGAAACATATTATATCCAATATCTATATCATAAATATGTAAACAAACTCCAACTTCAATTAAATCCACAATATCTTCTCCGAAACAAATAGGTGGTGGGTTTCGAGCTACAAGTGCACATATATAATACATACTTTTTGTTATAATACTCGTAAAATTGTATGTAAATCTCACTAAATTGGATGCAATCTACCTGAAACTGTCTCATTGAAGATTACAAAATCATTGTAAGTCACTGTGACTGATATCCCATATTCATGTTCCCAGTAGCTCACATTAGCACATACTATACATATAAGTAAGATGAAAACAATAGAACAAATTAACCAATCCTTTGCTAACAGTTCAGAACTAATTACTCACACTTTCCATTTAACGGGACTATATTCCATTTTACATATTGGCAACATCCGCAATCAAATTGAATGCACCCACAATTATTGTTGTCTGCCTTTGCAATAGATTCATCTTAAAAAAAAAAAAAGTCACATGCAATTAACACCAACAGTGTATTGCAACAATGATGTAATCATCTTGTGTATATATGAATGTGTGTTAAGTGTATGATTCTTTCTATTAATAGTTACAAATAATCTTGTTTAAATTATTGTACTAGAAATCAAGAAAGGACGAAGCAGTTTTCTTCGTCTTCTAGTTTGTAAATAAATACGTGAAACAAACACATACGCAAAATGAGATTCTTACATTAAACACACATGGTAAAAAACATCAATAAAAAAGAATCTTGTCTACATTACAATGGACATATAAAAAGCGATTTTTGGCGATCGTTTGGTACATGTACCAGGTTGTTATTGGGCAAGTTTACATCAAACATTTAATATATGTATTAAATATTCATACAGCACAAATATTCAAAATATCTTCTAGAGATATCTAGATATCTCTGCGATGGATATCTCTGATATCGACGTCTCTAGAATTGTATTTTGGACATTTATACTGTACAGATATTTAGTACATATATTAAATGTATATTATATTTAATGTAAATTAGGCCAATGACAACCAGGTACATGTACCAAACGATCGTCAAAAATCGCCTAAAAAGTGTATACAAATGTGTACAAACCGTAAACATCAAGATACGAAGATGTATCTGTTGCCGGTGTTATTACGCTTGCGGCTATCACTTTTGCGATTACAACGTAGAGAATTAATGCCGCGATAACAGTAACGCCCATTATGCAAGCGGCGTAATAATTTTGTACTATCTTGACTAAACTTTATGCGAGTACAACCCAATATAATCACTCTCTTACTGATTTTTACTACGTAACGTTTGGCGGCAAAAGAAGTTTTTGTGCTTTTCATATGTCCCCCTCCTTATAGAATTCAAGACAGTTCTACAATACGTTATTTGTCGGAAAACAGTCGATCGTCCAATAAGAGAGTTTATTTTCCGTAAAAGAGTTCTCCTTATTGGTTGCGTTCGGGGAGCACGCTACCAACGCTACCGCCTTCTTCTATTGGCTCCTGCACACATGACGCGGTAATGCTTGTCCGCCGCGGTAATGGACTTCCGCCGCGCGACAAGCATTACCGCATCCTGTGGGAGCACAAACTTTTGTATAACGCATAAGGGAATCAATCAATCTTTATTTCCCTCTCCAGGATAGAAATGAATGACTCTGATTGATTGATTTCCTTATGTGTTATGCATTATGCGTTATACAAAAGTCTGTGCTCAGGCCCTTACGCGTTGTAAGCGTCATTCTATCTTTATCGCTCATTACATACAGGAAGCAGATAGAATGACGTTTACAGCGCATAAACGAACGCAGCCATAGAGTTCACAGGAGATAAAAGTTATTTATTTTCTTCTCATAGAACTCTGAGAATTTTTTTTAGAATTTTGTATTAACTTTCTAGTACTTTAAGAAAATGCAAGAAAACGCAAGAAAATGCAGTACTAAAAAGTTAATATAAAATTCTGAAAAAATTCTCCGAGCTCTATGAGAAGAAAATAAACAGTTTTTATATCTTGCTATTTTTCGGTAAAGTTGATAGAATTCAAGTAAAAAAATATTGAAATTAATAATTTTGTAGTCCAGCAACAACTGACGCATGTTTGCGCATGCACACAGAGGATAAATAGGAATGTATACCTTTCTCTCTCGCACATATCTAAAGCCAGCGGCACACGATGCTTGTTTTCGTGCTGGATTGCTTGCTGGATGGAAATACTCTGTTCTGATTGGTGCATTTCTGAAGACAGACCAATCAGAATAGAGTATTTGCATCCAGCAAGCAATCCAGCACGAAAACAAGTATCATGTGTAACGTCCGGATCTATTTTAGAACATTAATAATATATTATTATAGACCGGGAGGCCGACTTGTCTGATTTCAGACATCACTAGATATTTTATCCCTACGTTACTAGATGTAAGTACGTGCGCATATGCATATTCGCGAGCGTTAAAACATTATAATTAAAATGCCGAATGCTGCGTGCTGCTGGAGAGTCTCGAAATCGACGGATCGACCCAAAGAAACCGCTATCGCTCAGTGCGATAAGCCAACATAAACAGGAGCATGAAAGCTGAATCCTAAACACCACTCAGGACACCGACGCGGTGACATCATGCAAAGGAATGAATCTCTTCCCTCGCCATAACTCCATGGACCAATCGGAGAACGACTCTCAGCGACAAAGCGACATATAAAAGCGCGCGCATTTGTAGAGAAGGCAATTATTTTCTTCTCATAGTTAGTCTCTGGTAGCTTCGTGTACTTATTCAGCATATTATACTTAGTCGTAAAATCCGACTGTGTTGCAATTACTTTGCCTACCCTTCATATTTCAAACGTTGCGAAATCAAATTCTGAATCGCGGGCCGCATCAACCCGCGTGGTATCGGAACATCCGAGGCCGAGCCAGGAGAACAAGCACCGCTGATTTTCCGCCAGATTCATCAATCGTTTCGCCAGGCTCCCGAGACCCAGGGTAAACTCGGTGAAAAGCAGAGTGACCCAAAAGCGGAGTCATCACTCTGTTGACCGTCCACGTAAGTCACTGATTTCACTACTTTCAAATTTCCCTATATAGTTATTTATCGTGGACGTAACACATGTACCGCTGGCTCAAGACATAGTGACTTAAAGGCGTTTTTTCGTTTCGTGACCACGATACGTTTGGTTGGTTGGTTTGGTCCACTTAAAGCTCGCAACGTCTCGAGCAACAAAGATAGAATGACGCTCGCGGCGTTGCGAGCGTTAAGTGGACTAAACTAACCAACCAAACGCTACCGTGATTATGAAACGAAAAAACGCCTCATGTTTACACGGCAGCTTAAAACCGGTTTAGTAACAACCGTATTTAGTAAACTCTCGCGTCCGATTGGTATATTCTTTTAGATCTAGAAATATACTCAAATCGGATTCAAGAGTTCGCTAACTATGGTAGTTACTAAACCGGTTTTAAGCTGCCGTGTAAATAAAGTCACTTTTGGTCTACAGAAGGCATATGCAATTCCCCCTCCATATATATATATATATATATATATATGCTCTAAGGTGTGAGTACTTACAATGTGACGTACAATGTGAATCAACGTGGCCATTAAATTACTGTCGTAAAACCAAAAATGTCAGCATCTTATTGCATCAAAACCTATACAGCACAAATCTTCAAAGAACGTTCTAAGAACGTTCTAAGGACATTCATACATCCTAAGAACGTCCCAGAATATTCTCTGAAGATTTTGTGCTATCTGGGAATGGGCGCGTTCAGCGGAAAAAGCGCTCAGTGAGCAATCAGCGATTATTGGTTCTACTGTTAGATCTCTAAATCTAGACCAATTACATTGGCCGCGTTTAGTAGAACAAGTGATCAGTAAGCGCTCAGTGAGCTCTTGCATCTGATTGGAGTATAGTTGGAGATCTAAAAGAATATGCCAAATCATATACAAGAGCTCCCTGAGCGCTTACTGATCACTTGTTCTACTGAACGCGGCCATTGATAAATTGCTCAACTGTTGGGCAACTGTTGAGTTCGCTGAACGCACCCAATGCCGCGGTCGACGTCAAATGGAACGCACTCACATTGTTCACAGGCCGTCGAGTTTGTCGTGTACGCTTTCGTGCTGACAGCATCATTCTATCTTCCTTGGGCATGTGATGAGCGATAAAGATCGGATGATGCTTTAAGTACGGAAAGCGTACAAGACGAACTTGCACAGTAGGAAAATGTACTCTGTCGAGCGACTTGTCGAACCTAAGAAGATGGTTACCAAGTGGAAATTCGGTTTAGCATATTGTATAACTGAGAACGTAAAACTAGGCTTATAAGAGAAAAGAGAAATGTATAATAAAAAATAAAGAACAGCACGAAACTCAAAAACGGCGAGTCAAGAGATCAGTTTTCGAACGGTGCGGTTAAAGTGCGGTTTAACAGTATAGGTGAGGTTCATCTTTAGATTTGCCAACTTTCGCACAAGATGGCTAACAACTGCGACACAGTCGTGTAAAAATTTCGGTATCATTATAAAAATACGTATGTATTATACTATAAGCCTGACTTATACAATTGTAATGTATAATTTTGCCGGTAATAGCGCACAACTGCTCTCCTCAAGTGTTGAAGCGCGAGAATAAAAAAAATTGCTTATGATGTTGCACGTGAGAGTCGTCCTAACCTACACGCGGTGACACGTGAGAATTTCCGCTCGAATGTATAACCAGGTGCTGGAAGATGTCGCGCGAAAAGCCGTGTCGGACTTGCACGGACTTTAAAACATGGGCGAAACAACAGAAAGAAACCTATGAAAAGGTGGACCGACATTTTTTTGTAAAATAATGCATGATTATACCACTCAACGATCCTTAGATAATAGTTTTACTTCCTTTTTTACTTTATGAAAGTTGCATCGTAACATTGCCGTCTCACACACAGGAGGTGCAGAAGGGCCAAGACCAGACATCAGTCAGTGATGCTCGACAGAATTGTCCTTTAGACAAAGATGAATTGGGTTCAAAGACTTGGGCCTTTTTGCACACCATGGCAGCATACTATCCCAGTCAACCCAGTAACAAACAAATGGACGACATGAAGAGCTTCTTCCACACGTTTTCTAAATTCTACCCTTGTCACATATGTGCCGAGGATCTGCAGAAACAATTGAAACATTCACCACCAGAGACCAGTTCGCAAGAAGAGCTAAGTCAATGGCTATGCCGTCTTCATAATGTAGTGAACAGAAAACTCATGAAGCCAGAATTCGATTGCAAGCTAGTAAATCAAAGATGGAAGGATGGTTGGCTCGATGGCTCCTGTGACTAACAGTGTTAAGAAATAGTTGTAAAATGTGGGACCTGAATAGAATATGTATTATTAAATTGCTAATTGTTCTTTTTCCCTACCAAAATGGGTGACACTTGTTCTTGCTGAATAATCCAGGTTCTTTCATATCTACAAATATCTTTGGAATGATAGGATTTTCAAAGAGGACTTTCAAGGTGCGCGAAGCAGGGTAAATAAAGTAACACATTATGCACTTTATTGTAAATGCATTTTTGCGAGAAATAGAAGTCAATCGTTTAAAGGACTGGCGTAATTGCGATGCAGAATTACACCGCATTACATATGTATCGTGTATATAGTAGTAAAAAAATATTCTGATATTAGAAAAATTGGTTTTTTAAGCCATAATATAGTGCATTCCACCAGTGATCGCACTTGTTGTTTCGTCTTTCTACTTTCAACGTGGTTGACTAAAGTAAGCCGGTGTCCGTGCGATAGTAAACGCTGTGACTGCGGTTCGAGGACCAGGCTCGTAGCCGTGATCCTGCCCTTGACCGCCTATGGGCACAACTTGACACGTTCTAATGTGGAATGGAAAACGTTTGTTGTTGACGGACGGTCGTGTTACATATAAAAACGTGACGTGACCCAAGAAGACAATCCAAAGGGAGCTTCCTTTGGCGACACTCTCCCTCACCCATCGATCTACGAATATCGTGACGGTCAGCACCTGTAAGAAACAGACGAATGTGCCGTTGCGAAACATATATTAGCGCACGGATATATTTGCGAGCAAACCGATCATTCGTATACCGTTAGCGGATGACAGAGGAACCAGGCCGATCCCAAGGAGAGAAGCGAAGCGTAGAAATTGAGCTTCGTGTTCAGCTTTCTAATGGTCTTGCAGCAGCGGGTGATAAAGACGAACCAGGCGACCAGCTTGAGCGCTATCAGTCCGTAGCCTGGCGGCGACTCGTAAATGTACAACACCAAGCCCGGATCAAATATCTCGAACTCGTAGATATACAGCGACATTTGCAAGAATGCGGTGATGCCGACGAATACGACGAGCCATCGTACTTGCGACGTAGTCAGGACGCTCCTGGTGACCGTGTAGCCGAGTGCAAGCAGCAGCATCAGCACGGTGTAAAGAGTCTCAGAGCACGCCTCGGACAACTGACCCAGCAAGTACGCCTTCGCCGCCGGGATTCCTCTCAGTCCGAGATTCACATAACTGTAGATCTCGCATAACGCACCTAGCAACTGGCACAGCAGAGAGGCCATGAATAGCTTGTAGGACACGTGCAGCAGCCTCCTGGAGCGTAGCTGCAGCGCTATGTGGAAACTGAGCGTCACCAGTATCACGTAGACGCAGGCGGTCGTTATCAGTACCGGCAGTATGTCTGGCGACATAAATGGCTATAATGACAATTTTTAGGCAAACTTTTGAGAGTGCAGCGACTGTTTGGATTACTTACAGAATTCGTCCGCGGAGAAGTGCTCTTTCCAGAATGTACCGGACGGTGCGTTGGTCAACGACATCCAGTACGTGACGTTTAAGCCGTTTTTGGAAGAGCAATCGGCCAGGGCCACGAACCACCATCTTGGTCGGGCCGAGATGAATCTTCTTTGACTGTCGCATTGAACGACGCCGTCGTCACCATCCGTACAACCCGACGACAATCGCATCGACGTGTTCAACGGTATTATCTGACCGTGATCGATGTCGAGGATACTCTCCTTCTCCCTGCATGTTTTGTTGGACGGATAGATGCTGGGCCACTGGTGAGTCGCGTCGTAGTACAGCAAGAGATTCAAATCGCGCTCCTCGCCCCCTAGTCGAAAGTGGTACCGAAACGTACCGCGCTCCGTCAGGAAGCAGAACCTCGCGACGAATGCCCACTTCTGAAAGGAAAGATCGCTTTTCTTGGATCGGAACGGAGCTCTTCCGTTTCCCGACGATCGGGTCGTGCGCGCAAGCTTGTCGTTATGTTGTTACTTTATGAAACGGCTAGATCGAGTTATCTCACTTTCAAAATTGCATACAAAATTTACGATAGTCTAAGAAATCAATTCGACTACACTCCGAAAACAACTGAATCTTCCTTTGGAATTTGTTAGAAATTAGGAAGAAAATATATAAACTCCCAATTTTTATGGAACAGAGACTTTGCACTGTCCCGCACGGATGGCAATCGGCTATGTAGATAAACCCCGGCGGATCGAAGCTTGGCGCACAAATCACGAAAGATTCGCGCGATTCCAAATCGCTGAATGAATCCATTTGTGATTACTTCGCTCGTCACCAGATCACCGCGAAGTATTTTCGCATCGGCGTGTCGCAGCAGCGGCAAGCGCGCGATCGAAAAGAGCAGCAGCAAAAAGCCCAGAGATTTTCGTGCGCGCGACGTTCGTGCGACGATTCCTCCGCACATCACTACCGCGATCGCTATGGACGCACTGTCGACGGTCGAGTCGACGCTTTGATCAATATTTGCAGCCGGTGCCGTGACTTGTAACGAGTGTCGAATTGATTGCATGGATAAAACGGGTCAGCGTCACCATTCGCGACGATTGTCGCGCGCGATGTCGTTGACGTATTTTGCATCATCGTATTCAGGATTCGCGCCATTTCAGTTTGATCCTTTGTAGCTATGCTGCTTTTTTCTTTTCCCGATTGATTTCACTGTGATACCATACACAAAATTACATTATAATATATTGGTATTTTCTAGCAACTCTTTAACGCATATTATTCTTTATATGTCGTTCCATTTGCGAAAATTGAAGCACAGCACCAGATAGTTGCGGAAAAAGCTTGACGTTTATTCGTGGCTTCCAGCGCGATATGTTTATATTCTCTACGGCAGGGCTCGGCACATTTTACCCATTTCGGCCGATTCTCGGCAACTACGCCTTCTATCTCCCCCTTATCGCACGGCGGGCCGTGCAAGTGACGGTCGCGGCCAGTCGCGACTCCAAGCTTAAAAGTACGACCGTCACTTTTTAGGTCCGCCGTGCGATAAGGGGGAGATAGAAGGCGTAGTTAGGCTGGAACTTAACTCCTTTGAGGAGTTAAGTTCCAGCCTAACCACCGTTACGTTAACCCGGGAGTGGGCGCGTACCGGTAATTTTGACCGAAATATATTTAAGCACATATATGTATAATAATTAAGTAATAATTAATAAATTATCAATCCAATTATTAAAAGAAACATAATAATTGAAGGAAATAATTTTATTAAGTCACTATTTCTTCTTTTTCCCCTCTTTTTCTCTTTACTATTTCTATATCTAATACGTTTAGAAAACATATTAAACTTACCATACATATGTGAATATATTAAATATAAAATCATAATATTTTTATTTTAACTGCACTACTAAAAAAGGACATTCTTTTAGTTTAATAAAATAAAATAAGAATTTCTTGCTTCTCTCGTTTTGCTTTAATTAACTTAAATTTGATTTAATAAACTTAAAAATTTATTTGATAAATTTAGAAATAGAAAATAAATCTTGATTCAATGGCAGTATTAAAACTATTACATTATGTATTGTTTCAATAATTCAAGTATTAATTTTAATAATAGCGCTATTGAATCAAAAATATATATTCCAATTACGGGTGCTATTGAGAATTTTATTGATTCAACAAAAAAAGAGAGAACCGTCCGTTCAACTACGATGTCAAAAAGACAATAGACGTTCGGTGGCACATCGAGCGACGCTGACGCGGCAGAGATAAAAGACTAACGTTAGTGGGTGCGCTATGGTCTTTTAGATCGGCTGCTACAAACATATCAAATTTTATATAAAAATAAGTGCGTCTATACCGTCTACTTCTCCATGCTATACGAGAAAATTTACATCAAAGAAAATTTACGTAAAAACGAAAATACGATAATATCAATAGATTAGATGATACAAATAAAAAACGAAAAAGTACGGGGAAATGATCGATACGCGCCCATTCTCGGGTTAAGACGTGTTCGAACACACACACGTTCGAACCGTGATTTTTTTGGAACGTGCCTCGGCGTTTTCCGAGAAGATCTGGATACATCTTACTAACATAGAAAAAAGGTGAAAGGGCCAAAAATAAAAGCCTCTTCCATAGAGAGAAAGAGAGAGAAAGAGAGAGAGAGAGAGAGAGAGAGAGAGAGAGAGAGAGAGAGAGAGGGAGAGGGAGAGAGAGAGAGAGAGAGAGACGTTTAAGGGTAAGTTATGTAGATTCGCACAACAAAAGAGGAGCAAACAATGTAGAAGGGAATACGACTGGTATCACATATGGCTGCTTTTGAATCGTATGCACGGCATGAGAAACGTAGTGTATCGATGTGCGCACTAATTGCCTCATGTGTCCCTGACATTTGTGCGACATGCAATATGCATATGCAATGTGTCGTGTTCTCGTAAGCTATTCGATTGTTTGCGACATGCAGCGAGTAGATATCACGATTTTATCTAATAATACTATATGTTTCGCTCGATTATTTCCTTTCGGTGGAGATGAATTTTATCTTGTAATGAGCGATCAGAAAAAGTTTTGCAATTGTGTATACTTGAGATAGTATTGAATATTGCATAATAGATACCCTTATAGAAATATCATACTAAGAATCATTGATAATTACTTATTATCCAGTATTTTTAATACTGAAAATAAGTAATTATCAATGATTCTTAGTATGATATTTCTATAAGGATAGTCATGACAATTTTCTCTTTTTATACTCAGGAATAATATTTGAGTAATTATATAATTTACACTCCTCACCTCCGATTTTGACGAAAAAATACTCAAGCGACGCGTTTTTTAAAGGTAAACAACTTTTCTATTTGAAAAAATCGTCGCTCTCTACTGCGAAGCGAGATATTAATTGACAAAGTTGATCACTATTGAGGTTAGGAAAACTGTCACACCGACGACAAACAGCGACATGTATATGCTCCGTAACCACTTGTGCATATACAAACAGTGCGCGAATTAGAAATATATTTGAACATACATGGGTAACACAGTATTATTGAAACATTAGCATTATTTAAACATTTGCAGACGAACTGGGGGTCCAGGGGACGAAGTCTCCGGTCAAGGAAAGTTCGGGGAGGCGAAACCCTCCCCGGTTTGACAAAAATAACATTCTAAAAAAAAAAGAAAAATATATCCGCATGGTGTTAAGCGTGTGTTGTTTTTGCGTACGATTTATATGTCCTACCTTGCGTAGGGGTCTTGCTAATCTTTTCGGTATCTATTTTAGACTGCGTTCCGAAATTCACTGCCAGTACTGAAATTCTATAGTATACGTGACATAAACTATAGATTTTCAGTACTGAAAATAACACACTTAACATGCTTAACATCATGCAAAGTATATTTTTCTTTTTTTTTAGAATGTTATTTTTATCAAACCGGGGGGGACTTCGCCCTCCCTCCGAACCCCCCTTGACCGGGGGCTTCGCCTCTTGGACCCCCAGTCCAAGTTTGTCTGCAAATACTTAGGTAATGTTAATGTTCCAATAATATTTCATTACCCACATATGTATATTTCAAATTCGTTTGCATATGCATATTAACACACTGTTTGCATATGCATATTAACACAGAGCATGTGCATGTGGCTACCAGTGAACTGCATACATATTGGAATGCTTAGTGAAATGGGAAGAAACGGGCCGAGTGAAAGGGAAAACAGGAACCGTTTTCTCTCTTTCTATTGTTGTACTATTCGATTTGAAAACATCGGTTTGAGAAATTTGGGTTTAGAAACATAGGCCGGTATTCATAGGTCGATATTCAAAGTCCGATCTTATATTTAAAGTCATCTTAAGAACTGTCTTAAGATGTCATGAACCAATCACAGAACCGTATTCGCATCTTAATAGCTCCTGCACACAAGACGCGGTAA